GTCCTGTCTACTTACCATTTCTATATTTGGTCTTCTGTGTCAACACTGAGCAGGAATCAATAGTTTCGGGCCTAGAAGACAGAGAAATGCTGATGTAGGTTTGAATAGCTGCATTGCGAAACACCCCTGCCCTTGTGAGGGTGTCATTCCCCTCTGAAGTGCGGGAAATTGTGTTGCAAAGAGAGAGTGTGCACGAAGATGATCTGTCATCATTTCCTGAGTAAATCTAACAAAGTGGTCTGTTCAATGTGCTGTGCTTAAAACTTTGTCACCACCTACAGTAATTCTGAGCAAGAGGGAAGAACAGCACAAGAAACAGAGCAGGGAGAGAAGTTTATATTAGACCTCACATTCACTTAAAATGACACGTCTGCAGATGGGGTCTGAATTAAGACTATTCTACCTAACTATAGTCACATTTTCCATGCAGCCACGGTTTAACCTATAAAGCAGCCATTCAGACAAGTAAAGCATATGGAAGGCCAGTTACTACAGAGAAACTACTTCTGCTAACTTTACTTTGTCTGAATTTAGAATCTCAGTGCAAAACTTACATCACATTTCTACAGATTAGATTTTGAGAGGACAAATGTATACTTATACCTATTCAGCTTTTCTACAGATACACACAGAGAGAAAACTTCATCCAGGTTTTAAAAGCTGTGCTGTTTGCTTAACACAGAAGTGAAGCTCTCCCAAAATAGCATGCACAGTTAATGTCAGAATCAAGGTCTGGAGGGAGGGGGACTGGGCCTCTATATACAGAGCCACACCCTTCTCTGTACCCCACACTATAGAATAAACTTGTAACCAACTGTAGATTTTTCATTCCAACTTTGCTTTACTTTTGATTATAACAAAGCAAAGATGATGTAGTTGTGATTGTATCTTTTTTATATCCACTTAACTCAATTCCAACTATCTCCCAGTGTTAACTTGCTGCTTGCTTCGATTAATTGGCACATTTAATAATAAAGACGCATCTCAAAGACTAACTACTCCAGACGCAGTTTTTGCTTCGTGATATCTCCAAACGGCAGAAAATTGCTTACCTTCTCGGTGCAGGAACTGTCGGTGTCCGGTGAGAGTGCTACAGCTGTCTCAGCTCTGTCCCCGATCACCCGGTCTGTCTGTCTCCTCCGGTCAGACTCAGGCAGTCCAGTTACGTTTCCTCTGTGACGCAACGACTGCGGCAGTCGCTCCCCTAGTGTGTGTGCAGGGAAAAGGCTTATGGTAAAGATGATATAGCCTCCGATTTAAAACGTATGTGACCGGGTAACATCTCGTCTTAAGTCAAGTCTACTAAAATCATGAAGGACGCACAGTTTTACGCACAGCTTTTTCTGCAGAGCTGCTGCTGCATCTGGAAAACGCAGACACCAGCAGCTTACGTTCTTGCGTTTATTTTTTGCTTTCTGTGGACCAAACATGTACCTCTCTTTAAAAACACCTAAAAGCTTTTTAAATGCGTGAAGAAACGTAAGAAACACGCACACCTTTATTTAGTGCAAGTTGCCGAATTTCTGACCTTTGTCACATGACTGAGAGTTCAACTGTGAGAGGAGCTTGCTGCCACTGATGTGACAGCATGCCTGCTCTATTTCTGTCCATTCAGGCGTCTTTTCCAGTAAGAGGGGGAAGAGAGCAGACACCAGCATAGTTAGGGGGCAAGGGGGGGATGAGAGGCCATGTCAGCATTGTGGATTACAGAAGGAAAAAAATGAAAATATGAAACAAATTAAACAGAGGCTGTAAATAAACTCTCAGTGGTGCTATGAAATGAGGCACAGACACTAAAACAGGCTTCATACATTAGTTTAAACTGGAATTTACTTTTATCTACTGTCTTCATTATTGTAAAATAAAATGTTGTATGGAGTTTGGATATGATGAGAGAGAAGAGGTGACTTCCAGGAAGCCCAGAGGCTTACAGACAGTCCACTGACACACATAGCAGAAGCATGACTCAGTATGTTTCACTCTGACTGGAAGCCAACCCCAGTGTCACTGACACTTTGTGGTTACTATTATCATTTTCAACCTAGCATCACTAAACCAAGGTTACTGTCTTAACAGGAAGGACATTTTTTATACATGCCTCTGTTTGAACCGTTTATGATGTACCCAGCACCCAGTTCCTCCTATTCTTATGTCTCTATATCATATTATCGTGGAGCTCTAATTTTCCCTACACCAGTGTTCAGAGAGAGAGGGAACCATATGAGGTAAACACAGATGGAGGTGGGAGGCACCAGGAATTAAATGTAGGCTAATTGTTGTATACTGACCTCTTCTGCTTTTAAAATGCATTACACACTGATAATGAGAACCTGACCTGCATTTCTGAATTCACTAACATCCCCAAGGGCTTGAAATAAAGTCATTATCATTTACAGAAAACATGTTTATTCTGTATTGAAAATGATTTTAAATATTTTATTTTATCTACATGTTTTTTCCCTTTTAATTTTTATCTTATTTATAACTTGTAATTATAACAGATTCATTATTTCAGTTTTCAAATCCCTAAGATCTATTTATGCATCCTACAACTCCGTGAGTTTAAAAAACGAATTAACGAAAACTTGTGAAAACAACGACAACAAGAAAAGAAAACAAATAAAGTGAGCACAAAAGCATTTTTGACATTCTGAATAGGTTTAGCGGTTCACAATTCTTACCCTGTGCCTTCCATGCAATAATGAGCACATTATGATCCAATGGATGGGAGTGAGAAAGGCTACTTTGTAAGTAATTCCATTGAGTGGGAGGGTCACACAGACCAGTGTTGTATATATCGCAGTAGAAATCATGTTTCCTTCATCCAAGTCAACAGCACGGATATTTTTGCTTCATTGCGGTGTTTTCACTACAGTCACCAGTCACTCCTCGTGGTACTGAAGACAAGGTAAATAACTTGTGTGTGTCAGATTCATATCCCTGACCACTGCTTTAACTTGCATCTGTGAATTTAATGAAATAGTATGTATCTGTAACACTGCATCTGAGGTGTCTTCTTTGATTGCACAGTAGAGCCATAAATAACACATTAATAAACTTTAACTGAGCTGCACTGTGATCAAGATCAACCCTCTGATCATAAAGCTGCACATCACGTGTGGAGTAGCTGTTATTTAGTTAAGTATTACTCTATTATTCCTCTGGAGACGGCATCTCAACCAGTGAGATCTGCAGATAGGAAGCCTGCAGCTTAAGTTTGGTCAAAGGTACTTTGACCGTCCACACGGGCTGCCTTCCCACTCGCCTCCGGCCTGCTCAAGTAGATGCCAGGAGGGATTAGGTGAACTGAAATCCCCTGATGGGAGATGAGAAGGCGAAAGCTACCTCTCAAAGAGTAAGTGTGCAGCCTGCTGTATGCGTAAGCCATGAAAGGTGCTTTGTCCTCCTCTGTTTCATTAACTCACTGGGCCATTAGTCTGGCAGGCTCACACCTCCAGGTACAGATGGGGACACGGTTCCTATAAAGCAGGAGAGCTGCAACATAGCTGTGTATAGCATGTAAACACACTGTGAGAACATACAGTATAGTTTTGGAGGGTTATCTGAAAAGCAATACATCATAATGTTTAATTGTGGTTGTCAGACTTTGAGAATGTAGTCAGAGGTTGTTGTTTTTTTAATGAAGTTTATTTCTCTCAGTTTTTCCTGTTTCTTTTCTACTGGTTCCTTTCTGTGAAGGACAAAATCCAAAGTCATAAACGAATGTGTACCTTAAAGTCTTGGATTATCTTGATAGCATAATCATGAAGAGATTATCAAAGCCACAGCTCTAACTGACATTACAAGCATGTGTATGAGCATTATACACATATATATACACTATATACACATTTTTTGTACAAAAGAAATCTAATTTCCTTTTGTCGTTAGTTAATCTTCTTTTCATTGCTTTCATCCCTGCTGTGTCAGATATGGCTTAAATCTGGTCTTCTGGTTCAGAAGTTAATTAACAATACAATTACTTTTTTTAAATTGGGCAACAGGTGTAGTCATTTATGAGTAAGGAAAATGTACAATGTTTTTTATGTAAAGCAGACATGACATAACACAGGTAATATAAACACAGTTTTCTAGTTTTTCTGTTGAGACAAAGGAAACTCTGCATTTCTGATAAAATATAAAGGTCTCATCTTTATTTTGGAGTGTTTTTAATTAGATTTTTTCATTTGATTTTAGCAGTGTCACAAGTAGCCCTGAATCAGACTGAGAGGAGGAGTTATCTCTGACATGATACTGCTCTGCTGAGGTGAGAACAAACTTTGCAAATTGGAAAATATTTTTTTTATTGCCAGGTGAAGAGCAAATTATAAAGGAATCTCTCACATTCCTCAGAAATGTTCAAGGAAGTAATTCTGTAAGTAATTGAAGGTTGAGTAAAGTGCAGTTCGGGGGCAGGGCGTTGTTTTTGTGCTGTGGGCGGCAATGAAAACTCCAGCCATCAGCACTATCATATCAGGGGGGTGATAAAGAAGGGCAAGTATAAAGGAATAATGTGATTTGGGGGAATGACGGAAACTTCTAATTGTCTCTTCTAGGCACACCTGTGAAGCAGGAGAGGTGAGTGAATTCAGTCTTATTTTATCATTAATGTAAATTCTGTTAAATATTAGCAGAGCCTGTCATTTGAGTTACATTTTATCATAATAACAATTTCACTTCAACTAAATTAAAATTGTCCAAGTCTCTGCTGTTTACAGGTGTTTCATTTTAGTGTTTTTTCTAAAATAAGTAGTACCTTTTGCCAATGCAAGTCCATTGTTAGACTAAAAATAGGTTTAAAAAAATGCTTGAAGACTGAAGACTGTGTTCTACTGTAGGGCTGATCTGACAATTATTCACAGGTTCACCAATCCGCCCTTTCCTCTCCACTCCTCTTCTGTCGCCTCACTCTTTCTTCCACTTTCTCATTAACATCAAACTGCACTCCCACCTGTTCCACCTGCCCACATCTTTCCATCCTGATCCAAACCCTTAGAAGCATGTCGTGCGGCTGGGTGAAATCCTTTCTGGTGAGCGTTTCTCGGAGGAAGCCCCTGGAGCCCGAGGGGGAGCAGTCCACATTTAACCGATGCCTGACCACTCTGGACCTGGTGGCCCTCGGTGTGGGCAGCACCCTGGGGGCCGGGGTCTACGTCCTGTCTGGAGAGGTAGCCAGAGACACTGCTGGACCCAGCATCATCATCTCCTTCTTCATTGCTGCCCTGGCATCCATATTTGCCGGGTTGTGCTATGCAGAGTTTGGGTCCCGGGTTCCTAAAACTGGCTCAGCTTACCTTTACAGCTACGTGACTGTTGGAGAGCTATTGGCTTTTATTACTGGGTGGAATCTGTTACTCTCCTATGTCATAGGTAAGTGTGATACACAGGATTATAATTGATTATCATGTCTAGTATTCAGTGATTTAGGTTTTGGGAACAAGTTCTTTTATAATAGTTCTGTTGTTGACAATTGAAATTTAGCCTGAATATGCCAAAAAATTTACAGAAAATATTATTCTCTGTCCTAATATCAATCTCTGGCTCAAACTTGTGACTTGCATCCTTTTTCCCTTATGCAACATGTTTAGTTCACTGAAAACAGCTGAAACCCATAAATGATCAACCATCAACAGGAGAAGCTCTTGACCTTTCACCTGCTGTAGAAGCATATTCTTGGCTCTTTTAACAGTGACAATTTTAGAGTTTTGTTTGAGTTTTTTTTTCACTAATCATCTTCTTTTTCCATGTTGGTAACCCCATAAACCAGGAATAACACAGTCGTAAAGCGTTTAAGAGAAACAAAAGGAAACATCATCATCAGTATTTTCTGTTTATGACTACCGTTAAGTGGTGACTCAAACTGATTAGTTTATTGCATCGTTCTGTCTCTATCTGCTCAGGGACATCCAGTGTTGCTCTAGCATGGAGCGGGACATTTGATGACCTCATAGGTGGCCACATATCTAAATATTTTGAAGAAAATGCAGCTATGGGCCTCCCTGGCCTTGCACCTTACCCAGACGTCTTTGCCGCTGTTCTCATCTTGCTACTGTCAGGTAAAATTATAAAACGGGTGTTGTTATGGTGGCGACCGTCATATGTACAAAATAAAGGTTAACATTCACCATGTTTCTTCGTGAAGGTGTGCTGGCATTTGGAGTGAAAGAGTCAACAATGATCAATAAGATCTTCACAGCAATCAACATCCTGGTGCTGGTGTTTGTGGCCATCTCTGGATTCATCAAGGGTGACATCTCCAACTGGCGTATCAGTGAAGAGGCTTTGATAAACGCCACAACAGAATTCAAGTAATGTCAAAGAGCAATATATATATATATATATATATAATGCTGTCTGTGTTTGGGTGTGTGCAGGAGACTGTCTTACATAAATACAGTAGTATTGTTCTCCTGGTTATCATACTGGAATTAACCACAAATTAATCTCCCCACTGCAGAAACCTGAGCTCTAATGCCAATGTGACGAGTATATATGGAGAGGGGGGATTTTTCCCCTATGGCATCAGTGGAACACTGGCTGGGGCTGCAACATGTTTCTATGCTTTTGTTGGATTTGACTGCATTGCTACAACAGGTCAGAGGACCTCTTCTCCCTTTATAAGTATCAGTGCAATCATATATAGTAGATGATTCTTTAATAAATATATGTGAGCTCAAATACACATAATATAAACAGTGACAAAGCGGAAATGTGTGCTAAAAGTAGCCATCGATTTGAAGATGTTTGGTGTGCTATAATTGTTGAAATGTGATTAAATTGTGAGAATTTTACACAGTGCAATTCCTCTATTGAAAGTAGTATTGATATCTGTGTAATATAATATTAAAATCCATCAAAACTGAATTAATTGGCAAATTAAATTATAAATTAAGTGTAAAGATTTGACTGATGTATCCACATCTAATGGCCTTCATCAGGAGAGGGTGTTTGTTCAGTTGTCATAGAGATAGTTCAGTTGTCATCATGTGACTCTGGGTATAGAATTGATCACCTGATAACAACTGAACCATCTCCTTGATATCTGAGCAAACTCTGTCTGATGAAGGTCAATAGATGTGGTTGAAAGCAGAACGCTCAGTACTGAACAGTCAAGATGATACAATAACCTTCCTACTTATTTATAACTTGATAAGAGCAGTAAAGGAGAATTCTTCTTATCTTCATAAATGATCACTGTCTTACACATTATTACTGCAATATCTGTTCATGATGTTCCATCTCTTGTATTACGTAACAAACCTAAGTAATAAATCTTATTAAGATTCTTTATTCTGTTCTTTACAGGTGAGGAAGTGAAGAACCCCCAGAAGTCTGTCCCTGTGGGCATTGTGGCCTCACTACTTATCTGTTTCCTGGCGTACTTTGCTGTGTCTGCTGCTCTCACCCTGATGATGCCCTACTACTTGCTCAGTGAAAAAAGCCCCCTGCCAGTGGCCTTTGAATACGTCGGCTGGGGTCCCGCCAAATACGTAGTGGCCGTGGGATCCCTGTGTGCCCTGTCCACCAGGTATGATACCTTTGTGCTACCAGGTCACTCATTACACACATATTATTAACATAGCATAGCACAAAAAGATTGTCAGTTATATTTCCTATAAAAAGGAATCTGTTGAGTTTAAAATACATCATCATCATCACCATCTGAGGACGGGCATCAAATCACATCAACAAAATATCAAAACATCATACATCTAAGTTTGGCATCAATGTTACTGTCTTTAATTAACTATTACTACTACTAATTAATCAGGAAAGGCCAGGGTCTTACACTTTCCCAAATAAAATAAGACTTTAGTCTGTTTATAAAGCATTTAGATGGTCATGGATTGTTTGCATTGGTCTCCCCAGCCTGCTGGGTTCGATGTTCCCTATGCCCCGGGTGATGTTCGCCATGGCAAGAGACGGCCTGCTTTTCCATCCCCTGACCAAAGTCACCCCCAAGGGCAGCCCTGCTATAGCTACCATATCGTCTGGAACGGTGGCAGGTACAGATGCTACAGCTGTTAGCTATTAGCTTCTATGTACATGTGGTGAGGTTTATAGACTGGAAGTAAATCCATATTGCCTGTTTGTCATCTTTAGCCATCATGGCCCTGCTGTTTGACCTGGAAGCTTTGGTGGAAATGATGTCCATCGGCACTCTGTTTGCTTACACACTGGTGGCCATATGCATCTTGATACTGAGGTATATTTATTTTTATTCCTCTCTGACTTAGACCTACTTAGAATGCTGAAAAACTCCAAAACTCATTTTTTGAAATGTGTTTTTGCAATCAAGGTACCAAGTGGGTCCATCCGAAGACACTGACCTACAGATCATAGAATTAAAGACCAAGTTTGGCTTCCTAAAGCCTCCATCATCTCCCACTTCCTCCACCTCCAGAACAGTCACACTCTTGACTGTATTCTCTGGTAAGTAAGGCACACACCACCGAAGCACATTGCATGCACTCTAGTACCTTTTATTAACCACCAATAATTTATTTGTTTTTGAGAATTCCCCCTGTTGTTTCTGGTTCTCGAACTGATCTGTCATGTTCATCTTTTCTATTTCTGCAGTTGCATGTGTGGTTGCGTTGTGTGTCACCCTGACACAAGCCATAGATGCTCTTGCCAATATGGAAGCGTGGAGTATCGTGATCGTCTGCATCCTCGCCTTTATCGTGGTGCTCAACGTTTTCATCATCTGGAGGCACCCACAAAATGCAACCAAGGCAACTTTCATGGTGAGAACATATAAACTGTGTATCTTACATCCATCATTTTTTATGTTTTTTTGTAAATTCAACATAAACTAACCCCACATCCCCTACTTTCTCTGGTCACAGGTGCCTTTGCTCCCAGCTTTGCCTATAGTGAGTACACTCATCAACGTCTACCTGATGGTCCAGTTAGGCGCAGACACATGGTTACGATACGCTATCTGGATGTTAGTGGGTAAGACAGTATTTCTGCTTGAAAGGTTTATAGGGATTTTATTGAGTTAGCTGCTGAACTGTAATGGTCCCCATCTTCTTTCTCCAGGCTTACTCATATATTTTGGCTACGGTATGCGTAACAGTGTTCAAAGGAAGCGTCTCAGGGCCGGCCAGATGAGGATTGAAACTGTCAGCAGCATAACAGACAAGAACATTATCAAAGAAGAAAAATTCTGAGCTCGGCTTGAGTGGAGAGAAATAGATTGAGATGTTACAGTGAGTAACTGCTTTAAGTGTATAACTACTGTTTTACATGCACCGGTGCTGATCTGTTGCTGTTGTGTTTAATGTCTGTAAGGTGTACAGTGTTGAAACGCAGACAAATGGACAGATGGGCCAAGTTTTAACTTTTATTTCACATTTACACTTTTACATGTTGATGAATTTTGTAATTTATCTAAATATTGTCACTGCCAACACTGAAATGATGCCTGGCATATTTTTGGACATGTGTATGTTGCCTGTATCAATGTGAGAGCCTTGTCCTGGAGCCTCTAAAGTAGTATCAAAGTAGTTTACACCATGAATGATGAAAAGAAAAAAATGAAAAGAAAAAGAAAAAAAGGGCTCAAACTGTTTTATGCTGATAATTACAATTTTATTCAACTTAAATAACAAGTTTGCACTTTTCATACCACCTGTAAAATGTAGATTAATTATGATTTTATACAAATTTAAATATGATTATGAATAACAAGAGAACTGTTTCTTACATATCAAAATATACAGTTAGACTGTAGAAAAGCGTGTATAATGTAGATACAGAAAATCTTGTGGAAATGTCCTATTTTTTTGCTCTTAGCGTGTTCAAGATTCACTTTATTAATTGTTTATTGCTTCAAACTGTAAATACGGAAACTGTACATGTTTTCTAATTAAATATTGTAAATGTATTCCTTAATTAAAAAGAAGTTTTCAAGACGAGTACAATCTGGAGTTTCTGCAGGGCATGCTGAAGGAATAGTCCAGTTCCACTCGTAATCTTGGATAAAGAGCCAGAGACCGGCTCACTGCCAGCAGTTCACTGAGAACAAAAGAACCTTTCACAGCCGCTTACCTGTGTCATGTTCAAAATCATGGCTTAGCTAGTCCCTCAAAAGGAGAGGTTTACATTGTTCTCACTGGGTACAGCATGCTATGGATTTAATCAAATATGCAAAACCCTTAGGATAACAGGAGAGTAGAGAGACATTGTAGTCAGAATCAAATCAAAATCTAAAGTTTTCCTAAAGTTTTACAATCTGTGCAAAAGAAATATTGGTCTAAATGGATGGATTTTCACATTAAAATCTTGTTTATCAAATAATTGTTTCACACTAGAAATGTGGGATCCTGTCAGTGTTTCAAAGTACCTAAAGGCTATTTGATGCTTTACATGAAGCAGAAGAACATGTATGAGTTTGTGCAATTTATTAGTCTAAAGCTGGTCAAGCCTGTGATTTGTTTTACTCCTGGCAAGACAAGCAGCATATGTACGACATAAGGTTTATTGGGCCCAAATGCCTTTAATAACCTTGCCGCAGTCTTCGTCTGGGCTGTGTGGTGTGTTTTGGAGGGCCAGACTCATGCTGCCAGCACACTTCCAGTCCAGCAGCTAAGCAAACAGGCTGTGCAATTCCACATGGAGGGGCCTCTGCCTCTGGACCCTCATTGGTCCGGACAGGCTTGAAAGCCTCCATTGAGCCAGTCAGGAGGAATTTGAGGTACTAATGCCACTCTCAGGAGGAGGAATTTGTGTGATTCTGGTAAACAGCTGACGGCTTTCTTTGCAAGCTCTGCCCTCCTCCTCGTCTCTCTCTCCTTCCCTCCTTTTGGTTTCTGCGGTATATTTTCTGTGTTGAACTGAATGAACTAACAATCCACAGACCACTTTGATATCCCACTGATCAATCATGCCTTTGGTGAACCTGCCCGGGTCAAAGCGGAGACTGGTGCTGAGCGCTCTCCTTATTTGTGCCGTAATCTTCGAGTTAGGTAAGTTTATTCACTTGCTGAGCAGTTCTGTGAACCCGCGTTCCTAAAATTACTAAGGAGGGAGATTTCTGTTGGCCTAATGCATGCATGGCTTACTCTAGAAGTTGACATCTGATCAAATTGATACAATTACCACACACAACAATCTTACTGAATCCCTTTTTTATTAAGACAGCAACTACTTATCGCTCAATTCATATGATTATTGTATCTATATTTGCAAAGTATTCATGCCTCACATGCTCTCTACAACGCGTCATTTATTGTCAAAAAGACGCCCAAGAACAGAGGACCACTCCAGAGAGGAAGCCCAAGCCAAGCAAACTTGGGAAATCAACAAATAAAGGCCCCAGAGCTGTAACAGCCAAACCCAAGATCAAAGCCACACCTGCAGCCCCAGCACAGACCTTCCTCACGCAGGTATTTCATCTAGCCCTCAATACCTTTTCAAAAGTGAGAGGAACCTTCATCAAACACACAGAAAAAATATTGTTTTGTATCTGACACATAAAGGTGCTAAACAAAGGGAAGTTTAAAAAGGTGGGAGAGACCATAAGTGTGCAGACAGGAGACACTCTGGAGCTGAGGTGCAGGGGCAAACCAGTGCAGTGGAGCGTCCCCTCTTACCTGGAGGAGGATGATGATGGAAGGCTCAGGTAAGGTTGAGTTGAGAAATCTTAAAAATGTGTTATCTGTCAGCATGTTCTGTGACATTTTCCTGTTTTGGCTCTGTAGGATCGTCCAACACGAGCGATACAGCGTGTTGACATTAGTCAACACTACTGGCGCAGACACAGGAGAGTACACTTGTTATCCTATGTACTGTGAAGACACAGACTGCAGGAAGGAGTATGACAAAGCTGTCAAAGTCTTTGTCTTCTTTCCCGGTACAATAAATCAACTTTATTGTTGCTTACACATGCACTTCTCAAAAATTGCAGGCCTCTGCTTTATTTCAATGCCAGCTTGATAGGAAGCCTTTTTACACTCACATTTAATCTTATCATCAATCTGCCATATCTTCCCGCTGTGCCAATCAGACCCACAAGAACTATTTGTCCCGTCGTCTGACTACTACGAAGTGATTCAGCTGAGAACCAACTGGCCGACGGTCCTCCCTTGCCAGGTGACGTCACCTAAGGCTAAAGTAACTCTGCACCGCGAGTTTCCACCAGTGGAGGTGGCAGTGGACGGGACGGAGATCTCCTTTAATGTGAAGAAGGGCTTCACCATTCATCGACCCCGGCCATATCACGCCGGAGCCTTGTACTGCGTAGCCAGTCTGGGCAACCTGAGGCAGAGCTCCACCAAGTACATGCTCATCTATGTTAACTGTGAGTGCTGCCAAACGAAGCCATCCATTCACTTAATCATACATTCATTGATGATTGCAGACTATCCCAGCATGCATCAGACAGCAAGGATTGCAATCATGAGCAAATCATGTCCTAACTTGCATACAGTGAATGACCAATTAATCAGTTAGGCAATGGAAACAAAAACTGATTTTGTTTTTTTACTTGTTAAAGTAATTTATCAGAAAAGCTGCAAACAACACTTGTTGGTTGTTTTCCACATATAACTCAACAGATGTTTCAACTCCTTTCGGTGCTTGAACTGAATCATCTTAAACTCTCAGCACTTCACTTTTCATTGCTAATTCAACTTCGTTCAGTATTCGCGTTTTCACTGCAAGTTGAACTACAACTTCAGCTGTTTCGACTTTTTAAACATTTAAACTGCAAAGTTTCATCAGTGAATTTTCTTCTCAAAATGTTGTCTTTTCTAGTTAGACGGTAAATCAGAAAACAGGACTCACAAATTAGTCAACAGCAACAGGACAAAACAGGCTGAACATACAAACTGCACACAGATACAACTATACAATTATTGTTCAGTGTGTGACTTAGCGCTTTCATAACGCACTTATCCTCCACATTTGCCTTCAGACCCCATGGCCCCTCCTGCTCCAGTAATCCAGGCCTCCTCAAGCTCAGTGACTGTGGGGGAGAATCTGCGTGTCAGCTGCTCCGTGGTGGGAGAACAGGACGTGGTCGTAGAGTTCACCTGGGATTACCCAGGACAGCAGGTCAGACACTCAGGAAGAGATGGCTGTTATTTGTTAATGCTCTACAGATCACTAATAAGCCATTATTATGCATAAAAAATATACATTTCAGGTTGATTTTGAAACAAATAAAGGGAAGTATTCGTGTTATTGACGCACATCTGTCTTTACAGCTTACTTTGTCTTTCTGGCTAGTTGGTTATTAGTTAAGAGGCCACCAACCTATGGACTGCAGAGCATCCAGGCCTATAACTATTTACTTATTAACCTTAAAGACTTAATGGCTTATTGTAAAGAGGTTACTTTCCATGCTGTATGTGTTTATTTCCAAACTGAACGGGGCGCCTGTATTGGTTGCAGATTGGAAGGCCTCTGTACACACATGAGAGCATCAGCCCAGTGGGTGGAGGGACTATTCGACAGCAGTCTCAGTCTGTCCTCCTGGTGGAAGAGGTGAGGGACGTGGACCAGGGAACTTACACCTGCACCGCCCAGAACCTGCAAGGAGCCACATCAGCGTCCACAACCGTTAAAGTGGTCCCTAAAGCCAAACCTAAGAAACCATAAAGCATCAAAACTGAATGATATCACCAGATTGCTTTCTCTCACAGTATTAAACAGTATTTTATTTGATTTCATTTCATATGAACACATAATTACAATAAATCATCTCCTCCTGTTGCTATTAGTAATGAACACACACTGCGGCATTACAATGATAACTTGAGATTTTGTTGTTTAAATGAATGTATGTAAATTGTTGTGCATTAAGCTTGTACGTTTTATATACTGACACTGTTGCTCTGTCTTTTTCTACTTATTTCTCCCTGCCAAACATAAAGGCATAGAAAATAAATAAAATAAAATAAACAATAAAACATGATGATGATATTATTAGAGTGAGATATCGTACCCAAAAATATGGGTCACAACATATATATTAATTAACACTGGGTTGTAATATTCATAATTACATTCATAATTGTTTACACTAAAAGAGAAATGTTGCTATACAGAAAAAACAAAATTATGAGTATATATATTTTAAATGTTGCACTATTTTGCGACTAAACAATTAATCGACAATGAAAATAATTTTTAGGTGCAGCCTTACAGAAATGTGTTTTCGCTCAGAAGGATACAGTCAGTAGCTGTATTAGTCTGTTAGGGGGCCCCTATTGACTCCCTCTGTATGAATCCAGGTGTTCACTGCACACAGCACACTGCACAGGGCAGCTTCATCATTTACCAAGAGACCAACCAGCACTCTGAAATAACCCCACCCAGGACCAGGTTTTATTGTGTCTGTCTATTTAGAAAAACACACTATATGAGTTCAATATAACCCATAAAGGCCTCACAGTACTTGCAAACTACATTTCCCAAGAGGTGGAGCTTTTGCCACCAGGGTGAACAGGTGTTGTGTGCATACTGATTTGGGGATGATGGTAATTATTTGGACTTACCTGTCTATTGTTGCATTTTGCATGCTCTGATAAAGTTTCAGATAGACCGAAAGCTTGCTAAATAAAGTAACATGATTGCATGGATTAAAGCGTGCTGAAATCTTCACTTTCAGTCCAATATAACCTAAAATAATAGTCTACATTATACTAAAATGTTGACACAGGGTTCCCGTACAAGATTGATAACATTAGCTAATAATGCAGGAATCCTGGGGGCTTTTGGGGGCCTTGGGGTGATCCAGCCATAACTAACTGTGGGTTTCTCTTCCATGCCTCTGAATGTCTTCCTTTATGCAGCGCATCTACTTCTCTGGTCACTAGATGGCGTTGTCTCTCTGGAAGTGAACTCGGTCCAGTTTACGGGGGGGGGGCAGAAAGCACATGTTTCCCT